AAAGGGGGCAGGGGGAGAAAAAGAGGGATGATTCTTTTCTCTCTTATTCCCCTCCCCCCTTCGTTTTTCCTTCCCTTTCCCTTCTCGTGCAACTTCACTCCCCTCCCACTTCCTCCCTCTTCACAACGTCCCTCCTGCCTCCTCAACAACGGCTAACGACCGCTAAGGTTCCGCGTACTCGTAGCTCAGCAACTTCTTTATCCACGATGGAGATTTTCTCGGCAGGAATGCCTGGAAAAACTTTCAGTCCCTCTTGCGGTTTCCGATTTGCTCGATGCTTCAGAAGAATCGATTTGAAAAAAAATCCGCGTCTTGCCTTTGGCTACGAATACCGCGAGAAGTCCTTGAGGATCGAACGATCTTGAAAAATTCTTTTATCGATCTACCGTGTCGTGACTGCAAGGTGTATTTATGTCCTTGTGGCATTTCAACAATGCGATGCCGATATACTAGTTTTGTGCAAGTTGTAAAAAAATAATAATAATATGACGTACGATACGGCAGGCGGGTGATCGGGACGAGGGTAAATGCCCTTAGAAAGATTCCACGTGAGGATAGGTGGTACGACGAGGGGAAAAAAAAGGAAGCAACATAAGGCAAAAGTAAAAAGCAAAGGATAGGGATAGGCTCTGACATGGGTATTGCGGCTAAACTAATCTCGAGTTTCAACGGGGTAGAGACGACGATAGCACGAGCTGCCAGAAGATATCTTCCTCTTCATTCTCCTTTGATATTTGTCTCTTAAGAATCGATATACATACACACGTGTATCAAGGACGCTAAGAACTCATCCTGCTATCAGGGATGGGAGGGCGAAGATGCCGGAACGACTTTCACGACTTAATTAGCTTCCCGACAAGGGTGAGTATTAATTACGAAATTTCCGTATTATTAAGTGTCCGATGTATAAAGATAGCACCTAGAACTCTCGCTATACGCGACAAGGAAAACGGATTAGATTTACTCCTAACTCGTCTCACGTATAAACTCAACGCAGCGACTGGGTCGACTCGAGATATTCTCAGGGCGTCCGTACGAGAGGCGGGTAGCACACAGTTTCTCCTTCTCATTTGCATGATTCAATTTATTCCAAATTATTCATTCCGCTCATAAAAAATCTGGCACGAATCGAGATAACCGATGAGGATTCTCGCTTTCAAGCGACAACCGATAGATTAGATTTTGACTTCTGGCTACGTCATTAATCATTGTTCGTTGTTTCAAATTACAGCCCCCCCCCCCTCACCTGTTCGTCCAACTTCAACACTTCCCCCACCAACTACGTCTTATGTCAAGAACAACCGTTCGGCAGTCGTCAACTTGCTTTGTTTGCAACGTACAACATACAAAATGTTGTTGTGCGCTTGAACAAGTACAAAGTACAACAGCATACAAGTTGTCAATGCTCGTACAAAAAATGTACGTGATTCACATCAATAACCAAGTATAGTAAAAAACTTTAAAAATTTTGAAAAAAATTTTGCATCAAGCTCGTCAACGTTGACAACGTTATTGGCGTTAACGTAGCTGATGGAATTACATCGGTGAAGGAGAAATTGAAAGGCTGGGTTATATCGCTAAAAGGTCCATCAGGATCACGGGAGGATCGGCAAGGCCGCTTCAGTACGTCGACTGCTCTCGCACGTATGTAGACGAATACACGTGAAGTAAGGTACACGGCTAAATACACATACGCACCCATCTCCCATCGCCATCAGTCCGTCACTCACAGCCTCCTCCCTCTCTGGCCATTCACTTCATCTCGTTCTCTCCCTTCACGGATTCAGCCTCCACGTCCAGAAGACGCCGGTACCGCCATATAAGACGTCGATGGCGCGGCACGACCGTCTCTTTCCTCTTTTTTTTTTTTCTTATTTTTCCTATTTCTCTCATTTTCTTCTTATCCCCCTTCCTATTTCATCTTCTCGTTTTCCCCGGAGCAACCGATTCCGCAAAGGAAGGCAGTCGTCCCCCACCGACCGGGTGCACGTGTGCGCGCACCTTAACGCGTGTGGGACGGACGGACCCAGTTAGCATAACCTGATCCGCAGGGCCCTCGTAGCCCTGGGACCTTCGAGACGCGAAGATTGATGGCCGCGTAATGGAACTATATAAGCTCGGCCATTTTGCCTCTTCTATCTTTTATATTATTTTTAAGCGTCCTCGCTGCAAATCCCCTCCATTGTCAATGCTCAATACGCGAACCTGGAAAATTCCAGATCTCCATACTGCCGTCCCACTATACTTGACCATGGTATATTTCTTTTACAGTGAGCCTTAAATTTTTTTTTTTTTTTTTTACAAAATTACCCGTAAGCATTTTCCAGCGAAAAAAGTTATTGATAAGGATTTATTAAATTTTTTCTTTGATCCAGTCTACCCAATCTTTTTTTTTATAGATCACTTTTGTAACCTCTTGATAACGGATCTTGACCTACGACGCATATACAGTGATCTATATATCTATATGGAGAACGATATACTTTTTCCACTTTCCATTTGTATAAACGTGATACCCTGTAGAATGCGCTGCGCCAGGGTCACAGCTAGAGCAGACTGAAAATTTTCTCGAAATCATATAAATACGTTGATATTGGCTTCTACGCTCCGGGAGAATCGGGCAGGTCGTGAATCCCGGACGTAATTTTCAAAATGTTAAAACTAATTTTTCCGGCGTGACCGATCGTCGCTCCGTAGAAATTTCGCGAAGAGAATCTTCGAAAGCGGCATCGATATACGATTGATACATTCGAAGAAATAGATACCGGACTAACAATCATTTAGTTTTAAATGATATACACACGGAACGAGGATACAACAACAAAAAAGGATACAAGAAATTCGCGTAATTGTACATAAAATGAATTTTTGTTTTCAAGCCGAAAATACTTGTTAACAAATATCACGTAACGCGTGTAGGTAACGTTAATTATCTGTTTACGAGGAACGTTTATCACTGTAATTTCATCCGGCATCGAGAAACACGATCGCAATGCTATCGGATCGATACAGAGTAACAGTTGGCAAGATACGAGATGGAAGCATTAAGGACCAAGAGAAGAGAAAGACAAAAGAGACTGACAAAAAAAAAGATACGGATAGATAGTTAGGTAGGTGGGTAGGTATATCAATACATATATATATATCGTGCAGTATAAGTAGGTATCGAAGAAGCGCAAAAGAGTCGAAAAGAGAAAAAAGATAAAGAAAGAGAAAGAGTGGCTACG